ACATTCTGACGAAAAATAAAAATTATTATGAATACAAATAAAATAAAAGAAGCCTCTCGTGAGTTACTACAAGCTATAAAGTAGATTTTAAAAACGTTTTATAGAATAAAAGCTCAATGCTGGACGTTGTAGAAATGCGTGTGTGCACCACGACAAAGGAGCCTCATTCACTTTACATTGGGGTTGTTTGCGTGATGCAGACACGTAAATGTAGCAAAGTTCGTGACTCCACCACGCAATGCGGTGTTAAGGAGTCGTGGTGGAGTCATGCATTCTGGTGAGACCAGGTTGTACTAGCTAGGTAGCTAACTTGATCCAGCCAGCCACTCCTGGTCCTTTCATCAGACGGGAAGCGAAAGAACGAGTAAGACCCATTGCTGGTATGATTACAGCCTGGTACAAAGCACACAGGCATATTGTTAAAGTTATCTTAGCTATTTATTACATTTAGTGGAGGAAAACAATTATGACATCACTTACGCGACTCTGGGATTTGTAGTCTTTCTAGTTGCGTATTTTTCATAGTCTTATATTTCAACAGTTTTACGACAAACTCTGACTTTTTTGACATGGAAATTATTTTTTAAGATTGACAAACATCATATGTGTAATTCATGGCACAATTCAAACAGGATCGACAGATACGTTTTCTCTCCCCATTGACTTCAATACATAATTTTTCCGAAATAAGGTCCCATGGGGCGGAAGTAGAAGGGCGGGACTTCGCCTGAAGCTGAAGGAGACTCGGCGCGTCACAACTGCACGCCAAAGGACCCTGACCAAGCGTCGCTATTGGACGATCAGGGAGTGAGCCTTTGTTGACGGAGCATATGCAACGTTAGCTTAGCCTGATCGATCCGATCTCCATTCAGAAAACATACATTTTAAAAGGTTTTTCGCCTGACGTCTTGTCTGCAGACTTGTCAAAGCATTAATTCATGGTTTTTACTAACCGATATCAGTATGTTTTACTTCAATTACTTACTACAATTAAATCACGGTAAAATATGTTCATTTTGTTGTAGCCTCCTAGCGAGCGCGTCTTGTTTGAATGATGCCAGTAAACACAGCTGACAGCCACGGTGAAACTCGAGCGTGTGTCAAGTTGAAAATGAGTGTTATTATTTCTTCATATCTCAGGACACTTTATACTATTTATTTAAATAATAGTGAGACAGCTTATCAAGTCTTTTGATGTTGTATAAAGAGTCTACAATGATGAATGCAGTTCACAACATTGAACTGATCACTGCTGGGAGTCCTGAAGCAATTGTCTTTGAAATTAATATCCAACAGCTCATTTAATTAAACATGTTTCCATTATTGATGAGCTCAACTACCTGCTATTTGTTAGCAATACTCTCTGGAGTCAGGATGAAAATCTAAAAATCTAAAGTTTATTATCTCTTAGATGTTTTTGTAAAATTATGGAATATAACTTTTATCATTCTTACCCCCAGCACATTCCCTAAAGGCTTGCTTAAGGGTGTTTCCATTGTAGATCACTGTTTTTGAAATACTGTAGCACTAACCCTTGATTCTGATTGGCTGGTATCATATTGTACATACTGTAGTAACCAGACACCTCTGATATGGCTTCATTTGCCATGAGTTATAGTTCCAGTATTAAAGCTGCACATTTTTTCATTATTATCAAAGATCAAATGACTTCAAATGGATGCTTAGATTCTGCAGGTATGCAGAATCGCTATAATTACTGTATTGATTACAATTAAGTACACATCCCGTGATCCTCTAATCTTGATCTGCCCAGGAAAAGGTTAGTCATTATTATTTATCATGTATAAATATGCAGTTAGAACAATAATCAAATGCCAAAACCTACAGCACTCATAAGCAACTCACCAATTGCGCACTTTTTTATACCCTTACTTTGAATATGGATGGCCTACTTTTTTTACGAACATTTAAATATCACTTTATACTTACCCTAAACTGCATTAAAAAAGCAGGCCCAAAGAAACTCCACCCATGTCGCTACAGCGGGGCCAAGGCACTATCTGTGGAAATTAAGATAGTACATGATTTAAGAGAGAGCTAATTAAAAGCTAATTAATTTGCTCTGATATCTTCACTTGCCTTATTAATAAGGCAATTTTACTTAAATGTATTGCAGATTCCTAGGTGTGCAATGGCGCTGTATAATCTTGTTCATGGTGATAACAGCACGTCGCGGGTATAAAGCAAAATGGGCAATAATTTAATTTTCGTTAAGATAATTTCTTTGGTGTTAATAAGTGAAAACTTTAGTACTATAGGAGATTTACACTAAAGTGGCATTGTTTAAGGAAGACATGTTTCTGCTGAGTTAATGTTTTTCAAAATGCCATTTCTAAAAAAATATTGGAGCTCCACAAACTAAATTCAATTACTTCTATTGCATTGGAGGCAGAAAAAGATTTTATCGTAAAACCTTGGCAGATAAAGCCTAGACTCTCATGGCCAATACAAACCCAAATCATTTTTACATTAAAGGTCTGCAAAGGCTGCCTTTCTCACCAAGCTGCATGTTCTTCTGTCCTTTTATTTATCTCGATGTTATCTTTTTTACATGGAAAAGTCTATCAAATGTTCACTCCCTGTTTATTACTCAGCAAATACCAAACACACTGACAGACCACAGATAAAACCCCACACACTTCAAGGTGTTCCCCATTTATAAAATGTGAATGTTTATTAAATGTTGACAAGAACATTAAAACACAGTATCAAGATTCAGCAAAACAATCTATAGTACTTCACCAAAACTAAAAGAAAAAAAGAAGAACAGAGTTAGTTCTGCGCTGGGACTGAGAGTGAAAAAGCAGAGCAATAAAGAGGCAGGGAGTCGGGGGCTGGGAGCAGAATTTAGGAGCTTTGGAATGAGGGGGAATTGGCAGCAGAGGCTAAGGCAATTAAGGAGGTACACAGTAAGAAAGATAGGAGGTTTGGGGACCGGGGGGGTCGATCAGGGGGGGCTGATGCACTGTAATGAGCGGGATAACTTGGAATGATTAGAGCCTCTGATTTCACTCTTTTATCATCAACCTCCGTTGGAAACTTAGCAAGCCGCTGCAGAGAGAGTGACTACAAAGGCATTCACTCAACAGAAACACAGAAGGGGGGCATGGCAAATTATACTTTTACATTTAAATAACAAGAGGGGGCAACTAGCATCAACATATACAGTGGGCACAACGCTGCGTTGAGGTGGATGGAGATTTAGGGAGCGGGTTCTCGGAGGGATTTTAAGGGTTTCGAGCGCAGTTCAACACAGTACCAGAAGGTGGTGTCCACTCTAATGGGTTCACAATCACAATAAGTAATAGTTCATTATAATTATGTAAATCTCTCTGTTATCAACACAAATAGCAAGGGGGGGAGGCAAGTTGTACATAAGCATCACAATACTTCAAAATGTCCACAGAGACACACTCCCGCTCTGTCGTCTGGCTCATGCACATCGGGCATGTACAAACCGCAGCATGTGCATATATGTGTACACACAGAGACACTGTAGACACACACATGTGCACACACACACACACTCACACCCTCTGTCTAACACAGGGACACACACACTATCACATTCGTTCTCACACGCAGTCCAGCTCCTTCCCCTTGAGTGACTTCAATCATTTGCAATTTGCCATATCCTCTGACATGATCAAACCTCACACTCTGTGCCATAATAACATCAGTAAGTATTTGTAGCATGAGTCTGTGCTTTTTAATGTTGAAGAGAGGCTGAAGTCCTCAGAGACGCAGATCTGTATGCAAAACAGCCGAGGTGCTGCACACACGCAGCAACGGGAGATCCTTCCAGAAACGGTGACGGCGGAACAACTCGCAGCAGGTCCAGAGTCAGAGCCATTCAGCGCAGCAGTGCTACACTTTAACTCACTGTCAGCTGGGGCAGCAACACATTTAAAACTGTCTCCCAGTGCCACACAAATGCCAAGATGTCAGAAAGATCATTTGTGTCCAGCTGGCAGCGATGTGCCAAAATCCCTGTCTTATTGTGCCTCCATAATATTTATATTTGTGCTGCAGATTTGAACGGGCGTGTGCTTTAGGGATAATCAAATTCCTCCTCTTCGCTCGTATCCGACCTTCAGAGCGGCACGGGACACTCCCACTTGTTGATCAGGTCGAGAAAAGTTCTGTAAATACTCTTTATTTTATTTTTTTAAACTGGTGGATTTGTGAAGTCCATGTGCTTGAGTATTCTTTGTGTTTTAGCATAGTAAGAAAACAGCTTCACATGCTCTAAAAGTCATACACACTGTACAATAGAATCTACAGATTTTTTTTTAAAGCTTTTAGTACATCCAAAGAAACTTGAAACAAACACAAAGGTTGATTCACCGACTTGAAAAATAAAGATAGAGACGGGAAATCAGGATTGCACTATTTTCTGCCCACAGTTTGCCTTTGTGTTTTTTACTTCATGACATTTTTTTGTTCCTTTTCTATTATTATTCTTTTTTTAGTTTGCGGATTTTGTTTAGACTAAAACACATTGTAGAATTCCTACTCAGAAGACGGCGGTTGAGAGCGTCAAATCTTATTTTACAGCAACTTTCTCAACCTTTTCTCATGACATGAGACAATGTGTCACACAAGTAACACCTACAACAAGCAACCAAAAACAAAAAGAGGACAAATAAAAAGGTGGGAATGGGGTGGGTTGTTGTCAAATACGAATATAAATGTCCTTAACAAGTCCGATACAATCTAATAAACTAGGGAAGGTCTGATACAGTTTTTGATTCTTCTTAAATGTTGTCATCCCTCTTGAATTTAGTTTTTCCTTTCTATTACTTTACATACATTACGGGCGCTGTTATCTCACGCAAACTACCACACACACACACACACACACACACACACACACACACACACCCACACACACACACACACACACACACACACACACACACACACACACACACACACACACACACACACACACACACACACACACACACACACACACACACACACACACACACACACACACAGCGTGCTGGGTTACCATCTGTGAGTGCTGCATCAGTTGGCCAGTACTCAGCTGGCAGGCAGATCAGACAAAGTGCCCAATATGCTCCCTAATGGCCCAAGTCAGATGAATGAGATACTGCGTTGTCTCTTTCTTTTTCCCATTTTTCTTTTTGCACCTCCTCTCCTTCCACTTCCTCACTCGCCTTTGATTCGCACTGCCCCCTTTCTTTCTCGACTAATTTAACTCTTGTCAAATTGTTTCCCCGTTCTCTCCATCTCTGTCTCTTTCAAATCATCTGAGTTGCCGCACTCCTTCCCCCTAACCCTGCTGGGTCTCATCCACACGGATCAGGGATGTAAATGTGACACAGTATACCACTGCGCTGTCTCTCCTCACCGCTGGAGGATCTTGTATCTCCTTTTTCACTTTTTTGTGAAGGGTTTGTTTGTTTTATACTATATTTGGAGCGTTCACAGATTATACAGCTATGGGCAGTGAGACTGAACCACAATTGAAGTGCCATGTCAGCGCAGATGGGAGGTCAGAGCCACATGTCAGGAGCGAATTACTGGTGTGTGATCCTGCCGGCGATGCTTGGACCGCCATGTCAGACTGAGTAAAGCTAGCTCAGTGGACTGTGGATTTCAGAGCTCTGGTATGTTGCTTTTGTGAGCTGAGCGATCAGAAATATGCATGATGATGGTTATTTTTTCAAGAAAGGGACCATGAGGAAGAATAATGGTAGCCTGCATGACACTAGTAGCTGAATGATGGGGGAGCAAAAAGGAAGCGAAACATAGGGAGGGAACTAAACTCACAGAGGTATGTTTTAGTGAATAAACTATATCAAGAAACTCCGCCTAGCTGTCAGAAATTGTGGTTGGTAATGTTTGTAACTTTTTCCTGTTGTCTGTCTTATTTTTTGTCTTGGTCACGGGTGGGTCTTATCTTCATCTCGGAGAACTTGAGGGAGTACTGCCAGCCGGTCCAGGTGGACCACTCGATGCCGTCGGCGTAGGAGGTGTGCTGGCCCCGCAGGTACTGCCCGTTCAGGTTGGAGGTGTGGCAGTTGCGGTACCACCAGGCCCCGTGGTAGAAGGAGGCGCAGTTGTTCTCCGAGTGGTCGTTATCCCGGTCTTTGGTGGTGAACTTCATCCCATTGTGCTTCAGCAGAGCGTCACCTAGTGGGGGAAAACATTTCATTGTCAGAACATAGTGCATTTAAAAGAATAGGCTAAGGCTTATTTCAGTGTATAACAAGTCACCTGGTTCAAATGTTATCCGTGGTTATTAAACATATAGATGGAGGTCAGATAGGGGGCTGTTGGACATACTAGAAGGTTTTCAAATCTGCTTACACGCTTGATGACCAAAAGATACAATTCAAAAGACAAAGCTTTAGCTATAACAGGAGCAAAGGTGGAAGTGAGAAGACACAGGACAGACAAAGTAAACACAGGACTTTTGCATACAGTACATTAATAGCTACCGTCACGTGTAAAATGTGTCATTTTGTTCGCATTAGGTTTCATTTTCACTTCTCAAATGTTGTCATTTTAACCCAAACCACCACCCTTTGGGTCAGCAAAACGTTTTGTGTTGTTTTTTAATTTCATAACTACTTTAGGTGCAGTTTGGCCCATCTGGCATATTAGAATAGTAGTGATAAGCACTGATAACTTATATGTATTCGACTGATGAATCAAAATGTGAGAACAAGCTCTCATAAACAAGTGCAGTTTGGAGAAAGAAGTTTTGAGCAGCAGCTATGCATCTCTTTTGTTTCTATAATTACATTTTTTTCATTCTGCAATCAATATTGGAGACAATAGGAAAATAAAGTTTTGTATAATAGAAAAGTAAAGGCAATAACTCACACACCAGAGTTAACAAATACATCATCAATTCTATGAAATCCTTTGTGTCTTCTAACACTTTCTTGGATCTGATACCAGAAACCAGTCATCTTTCAATAAATCAATTGTATAATAAAGCAGGAAAGGATCATCTCTTAAATAACTAAACATAAAAACATGTCTCCAACAGTTCCCCTGAGTATTGCTTCTTATTATCTAATGCAGGAGGTCAAATGGCTTTAAAGCCAATTTATCAAAGGTTGTCTTTTTAATACCCCACTCCCAATGATTTCATCAGGGATTCTGTTCAGGGATTTGTTAATGTAAAGACAACGTGTTAATTAAAAGTGCACGCATATTATATATTAAAATATATATATAAGTGAGTTTACTGCTAAATGCTTTAGTGTAAAGTTGAGCATAATTCATGTAGCAGTACTCGTCAGAGATCATAGGAACATAATCAGACAGCCTACAAGATCTATTTATAAATTCATTGTGTTTAGCAACCCTGTCACCGGCTTTTACAGCTTAACAACAAGCCCCGCCCACTTGGAATATTCCCGTTTCTCCTGATCAGCCACTGCCACATCCCAATTGTGCTGAAAATATCTGCTCACTTTACCAAGATTGTTCACTGGCAGTGCTCTACATCAATAACCAATTTGCAAGCAATTGCTTTAAGAGTTTTACAAGTAAAGCGAAAGCAACATCACATAATGCGGTACAAAGTCTTAGCAATTTAATGTTCAATCAGATTATAATGTTCAAAAAATTCGACATAACCAAACGCCCCCCCCCTCGCCCCTGCTGCACTCTCCGTCCTTTGCTTTGTTTCTAAAGCAGGCTTCACACTGTGCCCAGAAGTGGATGAAGGATGGCGCTGAGAGCAGAATGAAAGCACGCTCACCAGCCATCAGGTGCGAGCTAACAGCTTGTGAGGGTATCAAACAGCCCTTAATTGCTCAGGATGTGGCCGCCCAGCTCCTTACCCTCTCACTCTCCCCCATACTCAGCTCTCCATTTGGCATTACCATGGTAACCAGTCACTGGAAAAAATAATCTGGCAGGCGAGTCTGATATTCATGTTGTGTGCTGCTGCACGTTAGGAGAAAAAAGAGACGGGGGGATAAGAAGAAAAAAGAGACGCTCAATGGCATTGACAGTGAGATGATATCCGGGGGATGTAGAAAAAGAAGAAAGTGAGAAAAATACTGAAAACAGAACAGAAGCACTTAAAGGCTCATTTACGCCGCGCCGGTTGTCACCTTGATGGTTGGGGGCCGGCAGCCTCCATTGATGCCCATTAAGATCCAGCTGCTTCGGGCCCAAATGAGCACCTGTCAGCTGATCGGAAAACAGCCGTGGCGAATAATAATAATAACAGTAACACTGCCTAAAGGGAGGCCGAGGTGAAAGCATCCAGAGAGAGTTTGAAGACTCTGACCTAATTCAAATGTCCAACAGGCAGATGAGTTCAAGGTCAGTCCGTGCTGAGGATAAACGCATTACAGGACACCATGTCTGGGAAAGAGTGGTGCCACATGTTTCTATTTCCCTCTTCTGCCCTCTTCTTTCCCTTAAAACCTTGATCCTCATTTTGATTTACCTTCCTCTCTTATCTTTCGCACCTGTCCTCTTCTTCCTCTATCCCAGTTTTTCCCAACCTTTCCTTTCCCCTTTTCCTCTTGTGCCATTTCTCATATCTGTCCCCATTCTCTCGTTGTGTTCCAGCACCAGGTTTTTAAATTGCTTCTTCATTTCCACGGCAGGTTTTTTGTTTACGCTGCAGGTCAAGCAGTGCAATTAGTTTGCGGTAATTTAATAAGGTGACAGGAAGCTGGCTTGGATCTGATGTTTGGGGGGCAGAGGTAAAGACACTCCCTTTCTCTGTGCAACTGTCTGCATGGTTTAACGAGTGGACACACCTCACTGTAAAAACAAATGTACTATGTACTACAGTGACCTTATGTAACCTTAGTAGAGAAACAAGCAAGATACTTAGTATGACAAATGGTGTCCTCTGCTGATTTCATTTATAGGAAAACCTGGTTTTCATGAAGCATATTCACGCAGTAGCCTATACGCCACTGAAACACATGAGCACACACTTCAGTCTAAAAGAGCAGAAATCAAATCTGAGCTGACAGAAAATGCTCCGTTATGGTTTAATACACACACTATTTTATGAACATTTTATGAACATCTTTTTTTTGTGCCCAGCCATGTGTTTATTTAATTTCTTATTTTTGTGTCCCTATTTGTGTAACTGTTTTCCTTTTGTCCCTCCTACTCTTTCTACTTATATAGCGTCCTTGGGTTTCATGAAAGGTGCTATATCAATCCAAGTTATTATTATTATTTTTATAATAATAATTATTATTGTATAGGTTCACCTACTGAATTAAAACACTGAAAAATATAACCAAAGAAAGTGAAAGCCCTAAAGCGTATTCAGGCAGTAGGCGTATAGATTCACACTTCAAAGTGTTAGCTTACAGAACAGTACATCTTACAGAGAAGAAATCAAATCTGATCTTTTAACAACAAACCCAATATGCTCCTTTCAGTTTTTAAGTAACATTTTAATTCTACTATTCTCCAATATTTTGAAATGTAACAGTAATCCGATTTGTTATGTACCTGTAAATAACCTTTGTTTTGTATCCTGATTACGTAATCTCGTTACATGTAATCCATTACTCCCCACACCTCCTAATCAATCAGATGCAGGAAGTGTAACTATCTCACTGAGCATACATACCTGCATTGCCAGAATAGTCTCCCACAGTCAAAGGATAGCCGTCATCATCAGGGTCGACGGAGAAGAGGCCCACTCCAAAGGTTCCATACTGGGCGTAAGCGGTGCTATTTTCAAAGTCCTCCAAGTCGATCCGCAGCTCATAGTTCCCCTGGATGGACAGAGCATGGATCTGCTTCAGCCCTGCAGGGAGAAAGAGAGCGAGACACAGACCAAAACAATCCATTACAAAGTACTACCTCTGTTCTCTGCAAACAATTTAAAGCTATTTCAGCAGCCTCTCAACGCCGTACATTTTCTGGAAATAAGATGTAACATGGTTTTTGGCCCATTTAGAGGCTAGCCGTGCATGTGTAGGGTTTATTTCCAAATACAAGATTAGAGTTTTTTTTTTTTTTTACAAAGTGCACACTGCTCTCAGAACTGTTTGCCAAGAGGATGGAAAGACCCGTGTAATCTGCTGAAACTGTTTTTACAATGACAGTTTGTGGGTTTTTTAAGCAACACATTTTTATAAGAACATCTGCACAAACATTGTGAAATAACTTTATGTATCAGCAATGTTTAGCACATTTCAAATATGTATTTCTATCTATATTTCATCAGGAAAAACCTCATTCTTAACCTCAGTTTCAGCAGGCGTGGGTTAGATGTCAACCATTCTGCATTCTTACTGTTAGAGATTAGGAATTTGTCTGTAATTGCTTTAAAACAAGGTAAAGTTTCCTGGATAAAGGAGATATTGTAACATTTAACCTGGCCATGTACTACAGGTAATGTGTTGTTTTGTCCAAAAATAACTTTTTTGGAGTATACTAGAGGAATGGAAACTTTTCCATGAATGTGAAATTGAATTTGAACAACCTAATTCTATTAAAACATTTTAATATCAAAGATGGAAATCTACCAGCAGGGTCAACAACATCTGTGGCCCCCTGGTTATAAAACATGCAAAGTATTCTAAAGTCAATTGCAATCGGCGCTCACATTAATCATGTGTTTGAAATGGACTGCAGCTTCATTCAACAACACCGATTTAATATGATTATTTCAAGATCTCAAAGCTGATCCAATTGTTTTATTTTTGTGCCCTTCAGCTCAGCTCTGACCAGAAGAAAAAACGACTTTTGTCTAACATAATATATATTTTAAATCAGTGATATAAAAGCTCAATAGGCTAACATGATGCACTGCTGGAGGAGACATTAACACCCAGCGGGAAGAGGAACATGTGGTTAGAGTCATAGTTAGTGCAGCGGTTAAGCATAAATAGGTTGTTTTGTTTCATTGTGCTAAGGAGTTTCCTTCGTTTTTAAAAGAAACAATACTTTTTTCTCTCCGTGAGTTCAATTTGTATCTTGGTTGGTTTGATAGTTTGTTTGTCAGAAGAATTCATGCAAATCAATAAGCCTGATTAACATGAAACTTACTGTCATATTATAATATGGGCAAGGAACACATTACATTTCAAATGTACACGGTGCAGAATTATTTTTCACTTATGGAAACAGCCTTGGAGAAGCACTAAGCTCCTCAAATGCCTTAGGTAACTTTTCATTTCACACATATGATAAAGCATCAGCTATAAGCACATTAATACCAAGCCATAAATAAAAGGAACACCGTAGAATCTGATGTTTGCATAAAAGTATGATTTTATAAATCCTCGATTGTGTGCATGAAGTCATTAGTTATGATAAAGTCTTCTTGAACTTGTTCACATGTCTCAGCTATTTCCAATTCCAGCTTGCCACCTCTTCATCAGATGCCCCGAACCACTCTTTTAATTGTTGCTCAAACCTTTGGAGAGAAATGTGTAAGACAGAAAGTGCCAGAAGGAAAAAGGATTCCCATCCCTTCTTCCTTGCCCCCTCCTGCTCTCTGTCCCCCCCCGCTGTGTTGGAGTGATGGTGTGTCCCTGGGCGTGTTTTCCTCTCCTGAGTTGATCAAAGGCACCAGATGAGTGGTGTGTCAGGCGGAGAGGAGCAGGAGGAACTAAACCTGGGTCCCTCCAACACAAAATTGAAGGCACGAAGACAAACAAAAGTGAACTCAGCCTCAAGACTGAGTTAAACAGCCTTCCTCCATGCCTATAAACGCACTCTATGCACTGTTTATTTGGGAGACAAAAAGAAAAGAAATAACATTTGAAAGCCACCGTGATAACAGGGCTTCAAAGACTGTTGGAATTAGAGCATGTAGAGGAGGCTGTAGGCTGGTTAAGGTTTGTTTTTCTGTCTCTGCTGTAACGTGAATCACCATGAAAGCAGCTGCACCACAGGAAGCAAGGTGTCTTTATGAACCTAAACACTGTCATATGACCTCCTGCTGCAATCATCACCTTCGCAAATGAAACTCATTCTCCTTTTTAATGCCTTCAAACCTCGAACTGACTTTGCCTAATTTGAATTCCGTCGTTGAAATGGCACTCTGCGAGCGGCTCGCCTGAAGTAGAGAGCTAATTTGATGACAAACACAGCTGAAAGAACCCATTATTATTCAGAGAGGGGAGCTTGCAGGCTGGGCCCGGGCACTTAGTGAGGATTGAATCTAGCCCAATGGGAGGTTGATCCTGCTCTTTTCATTTTCACAGCGGATCAGTCAAATTGGAGGTGGAAAATCAGTGATTAATACATTCATGGGTAGGTAACTTCACGCACGCCCGTTTTTCCGTTAACTCCTAAAATATATATATACTCATGGATGTGTGCGATAAAACACACATCACATGCAACACATTTTGACGCATTCAAAGGAACAAAAATGGCTCATTTGCAGGAAGTTTTCTTGTCGCAGCCCTTTGAGAAAAAGTATCAATCCACACAAACACCTAAGGGAAAAGTCATTTCACAAACTTCAAAAGACTTAGGATGTTTTCTCTTTCGGAAAAAAAAGGAAATAAAAATAAAGTACCAGATGCAACACAACTCTATATAAAGACTTCCAAGTGTATTTACATAACTTTAATTCAGTCTCTAATTAAAGCCCCAGAGAATCTCCGCGAGACTCAGAATCAGAATAATTAAAGGGAAAGACTAACGCAACAACAACAGAGACTTCTTTGGTTAAAATCTAAATGCTCAGGTGTAACTGGCTGTTAATTAAATCCATTGTTAGGTTATTTAAAATGGGCTCTGATACAAGGGAGGATTCAGAGGTGTTTTGCTTCAGTATTAACATGCTGATTGTTCCGTTGGGAAAAATACTTCTCTCTTCTCACTGATTTGCCGTTTATAGGAAGCTTAGCGGAGAGTCCAAAAACTTCTGACCTCCAACACGCTTTAGATGTGCAATTAGGGGTTTCTTTCTTTATTCCTTGCTTTTAAATCCAGGCCATATTGAGGCACATTGTTTTTAATTGCTGTTTGTTTCGATTGGACATTTCTAAAAATAAAGTATTAATGTTGTTATAATATTAATATTATTTTCTAAAGAAGAGAAGAAGGTCTTTCTTTTGAAGTATGACAAATCACTCGAGGATACTTTTCCCTTAAGTGTGTGTGGTTTGATACTATTTCTCAAAGCACTAGGACAAAAATAATATGTCCTCAAATGAGCCATTTTGGTTAATCTGAAAGCGTGTAAAAGGCAGCGCATCTTGTATATATGTTTGTGTGTGTGTCTATAAAGCCATGCTAGTTGCTGTATCTGGGCACAGTGACATTTGAACGCTAAATTTAGCATGCTAATGTAGCGACATAAAACGTACTATTGTTGTCATCTTAGTTTAGCATTTTAGCATGCTAACATGTGCTAATAAGTACAGGAGGGGCTGTTTTCATAAGCTTTGCAGGCATTTGATCATTAAACTAAATATTGGATTCATTACAGATTTTATCAAATGATGAAACATCACACCTCCACTGGCTTCCCTCCACTGGCTTCCCTCCACTGGCTTCCTGTCCATTTTAGAGTTCATTTTAAGATTCTATTGTTTGTTTTTAAATCACTTAATGGGCTGGCCCCTCAGTACATCTCCGACCTCCTACAGGTGTACACCCCCTCAAGGGCTTTGAGGTCGGCTGATCAGTCTGATCAGCTGGTAGTCCCAAAAACAAGGAAAAAGACCAGGGGAGACCGAGCCTTCTCAGCGGTAGCCCCCAGGCTCTGGAACGACCTGCCCCCCCCTCATGTCAAATTGTCGCCCACTCTTGAAGCTTTTAAGTCCCGCCTAAAGACCCACCTCTTTTCCCTCGCTTTCGAGTCAGTCTGAGCTCTACCTATTTTATGCTTTTATTGTCTGTCCATAGCCTTTGTGTGCCTTGCATTTATTCTTATGTGTGCCTTTTATCTATTCGTGTAATATTATATTTTTATTATAATGTTATGTTCATTGTGAAGCACTTTGGCAAACCCTCTGTTTTTAAAATGTGCTACATAAATAAAGTGGATTGGATTGGATGAATCTAGACTAAAGAGTCCATATTTTGCCCATTTTCAGGTTTCATAATTGAATTATTTAATACCAGCCCTTAGCCTATCATGTACAATGTGTTGGAATGCTAGCCAATTGAAGTGCGAGTGTTACGTAGTGATGTCAATATGTAATGGAAGTAACAAAGGAGCCCTATGGAGGTGTTTCAGGCAGGGGGGGGGGGGGGGGGGGGGGGGGAGAAACTCGCTCTGGAGGGAACACAGGGATTTAAACCTTTGCAGATCCTTTACATGCACAACACACCAATATAACACAATACAGGAAAGGGGAAATACTTAAAATAGGGCATCTTTAAAACTAAGGACCCAGCTTATGTTGCCCATGCTATCCAACACTGAAAATAACAAACCGTTATTGGGAAGCAATCTTCTTTGAACTTCTTTCCACACATTAATCTCCACATTACACAAGCAACAGGAATACTTATCTGATGTAATGTAAGAAGGAGATAAATAATGCTGGCACAATCAGCATCTCATTTTGAACAATCAATGTGTTTACTCATAGAGAATCTCATTTAGCGTGTGACTGATTAACAAACACGTCGATGGGACAAAAATCTTTAAGAATGATTTGGCATTAAATCACCCATGTCATCACAGTCTCCTTTACAATGTCTGCTACAGTGACAACAGCTGAGGAATGAGAGGATACAAAAACGCAGCACCATTCACATCATTTTAACCATTTTCTTAATCATGGCCGTTAATATGATTATTAACACTTCAGCTCGTAAAGACACAAGATT